TAACTATAATTGGCCAATCCTTAGGAATTAGAGAAGGTAACAGCATCCCAGGTTGTAGAGACCCCATAGGCTGAATTACCTTGTTGATGGCTCTAAGATCAGTAACCATTCTCCCCTTACCAGACTTCTTGACAACAAAAACTAGTGAATTCTATGCACTAGTTGGTTCCTCAATATGTCCAGCATCTAGCTGTTCCTGAACTAACTTCTCCAAAGCCTCTATCTTCTCAGATGTCATAGGCCATTGGCCCACCCAGATGGGTTCATCTGTCAGCCATTTTAAGGGTAGAGCTTTTGGTTGCTCTGTAGGTTTGGCACTAGCATCCTGCTTCTGTACAGCCTGTACATTTGGCATCTGTTTTCTGTACTGCCTTACTATATTCTTTCTACCACTAAGAGCTTGTCTATAATTCCTAGCTGATACAGGAGGAATGTTAATCTGCATATTCCATTGCTGTAATAGAACACGACCCCAGAGGTTTGTAGCAATATCTGCAACATATGGCTTTAACCTTCCTCTCTGTCCTTCTGGCCCAATAAAGTCAATCCATCTAACGCTCTGTTTAACTTCAGATAGGGTTCCAATCCCTAAGAATTGAACATTAACCTCTTTTAAAGCCCAATTTGGGGGCCAGGACTTCTGATTAATAATGGTGACGTCACTTCCGGTGTCTAAAATGCCATTAATTACCATATTATTTAACAGGTAACTTGGGTCTATGATATTGTATAGAAGTTTGCCAAAATATGTTTTGTATCTCCTCCTGATATTATTGATTCATCCTCTGGAGCTAATGTATTATCCAGTAACGTATTATTTACAATGGGCAGTGGATCTTCTAATTGTCCTGGGAGAGGCTGTCCTCCACTGTCACTGTGAATGACCGGATAATCTTTCTTTCTAGGGCCCGATCCCCGTTTCCCAGCTTTAAAGATCTACCTTGTCTATCTTTAGTGGACCAGCATTCGTTGGTCCAATGTTTTACCTTTCCACACCTCCTGCAGAGACCAGGAGGCTGAGGACTTCTGTTTGATGTATTCCTGGTAAAAGCATTATTTCTAGGAATGCGTTGTCTACAGTTCCTACTCAGATGTCCTATTTTACCACAGTTAAAGCATGTGGCATCTTAATGTCTGTTAAAATTCTTGGAGATTGCCTTCCCTAACCAGGCCTCTATATCGTCATGGGTAGGGTACTTGGCATCCTGGTGCCTCCTCAAGCCTGTAGAAATAGCTTTACCTACCCAAGCTCCCGTATCCTGACTTTTACATTCCAGGTTTGCTGTATGTAGGACCCATTCCTCCAATGGCGCTGATCTTATTTTTAATGGCCAAATTACCTGCCTGCATTGAGGATTTGCGTTCTCATATGCCAAAGATTCTATAAGGAGTCGCCTAGATTCTGGATTTGCTACCTGTACTTCTACTGCTCTGGATAATCTCTCTAAAAATTCAGTGAACCTTTCCCTTGGGCCCTGTAATACGTTGGTATAGGGTTGCATTATCTCTCCTGTTTCACAAACCTTATCCAAGTCATTTAAAGCAGCTGTACGGCATAAAGACAACATGTACTCATCATATGCAGACTGAACCTGCGTGTCATCATAAGGACCCTCCCCAAGAATCTTGCCTTGGGCTACTTCATGACCGTCCTTTAATTCCTGAATCTCTAACGCTTTTGCTTCTTGCCTCCATAAAGCTCTCCATTGAATTTGACAAGAATTTTAGAGCACTGCGGAGGCTAATTGGGCCCAGTCTTTTTGGGTTACTTTATTTACAGTGGACCATGAGGTTAGGAGCTCTCTAACAAAGGGAGAATGAAAACCATACGAAACAATGGCCTCCTTGATTTTCTTTAGATCCTTCATCTGTATAGGTTCCCATTGATAAGCAATGGGACCATTTGATTGTTTTTTCATTGCTGGTTTTTCTGTTACAAATACTGGGAAAACCATAGGTGAACACATAGCAGCCTTAGGGAGATCTTTCCGGCATTTGAGAGGTGTTGAGAAACTCCTGTCCTGACCTGTTGCCTGTATGTCTGATTCTGAAGTATCAGATTGAACGTCTTCTAAAACCTGCAGTCTATTCATCATTGTTTCTCTTAGCTCTTGAAGTTCTTGGGACAAATAATTTTCTAAGGACGGAATCCTTCATTTTTTAGCATTCATCATTTACACGTGATTCCAAATATTTAATATTCTCATCCTTAGAAAGTACCTCAAAGGCAATGTAAACTGCCTTCCAGAAATGATGTTCTATCAGTTAGTTTGTCATTGTTCTCAGACATGGAACAAATCTTTTCTGTTAGCATTTCAATCTTATGTTCCAGTCTTTGCAGTTTGCTAGTGAAATCATCAAACATGGAACAGTTTTGTTGGTTAAACTTTTCAACATTATGTTCCACTTTTTCTATTCTGTCTGTTGAACACTTTTTTCCTGAAAGTAATTCAATTTTGTGTTCCATCTCTTTAAACCTGTTTATCAGACCTACATTATCATTTTTAATATCCTGAATATTTTATACCAAACCTTCCTTACTATCCTGCAAGGAATTTGCATTTCCTGAATTCTTTGTACTAGGATTTCAAAACTATCCTGCGATGACTGTATGACCTGTATAAGTTTTGCCCTATTTTTGAGCCATTCCTTTAGCAAAATTATATTGATTATGAAACTAATAATCATCATCGTGGGTAGGAAGTACCTTTCAGGTAGGTCCTCAATCCTTTCTAAAATCCCATCCATACAAAAAAACAAGAAAATTCTTAACATCCTGCATCGTAATGTTAGCTGTTGACATTGTATAAAGCAGTTACATTTGTTACCAGTGGAATTTTATTCAGGCCGAAATCAGCAGGCCACCAGCGAAAGAGCACGTGGCCGAAGTCAGCAGGCCACCAGTAAAAGAGCACGTGGCCACGAGAGAAATCTTGGAATACCACCTAATCTTACCAGTAGGTAGAAGGTGCTGGTTCCTGGCGGCAGGAATCGTGCCTTGCCGAGCAAGTGAAGTGCTGGGGAACTTAGCGAAATGAGAGTCCACGTGTGCCTGGTCGGGCCAAGGAGCAGCCGCTTTTCTGGGCGTCTGGATCCGGGTTCCGAAACTCCTGACACCAAACTGATGCTGTAATGATAAATGGCACACTTACTGAAAGTAAAACTAAGTATTTATTGTAGAAATTACTCACAAGAGACCAAACAAGTAACCCAGATCAGCCGAGTAGTTTTCTGCCGCCAAACTGGAAGCCGAAAGCCGGAAAAAGAGACCAAGACTTCCGTTCTTCGGTCTTTTATGCCTTTCCCCGTAACGCCCCTAGCCATGCCCAAAAGTGTGCCTGGCTAGTGATGTAGTTCACCGCCTATGTATGTATACGTCTTTACATCCGTCCGTATACGTCTTTAGTCATGCCTAAAGTGGGTGTGGTTAGCTGTGTGGTAAACCGCTCTTTTATTACCTCATCTGTATGTACCTCTAGTAAGTCATATGGTTAATGGTGGCATACAGGCTTCCTCCTACACTGGATCAAAGGTGTGAGCTCTGTTTCTCTTTTACACTGTTTCATGCTCATGTAGCCCAGTGTGGCCTTGAACTCACAGAGATCCATGTGCCTCTGTCTGCTGATTGCTGGGATTAAAGGTATGGCCACTGCTGTCTGTCCTCTATGGCTAACCAGTGGCTTACCGTGTGTGTATGGCTAACTAATGATTTAGCTCTTAACTAGGTGTGTGGCTAACTAGTGACTTAGCTCTGTACTCTGATCTTCAGGCAAGCTTTATTAGGTCATAAACAAAACATCACCACACACCAGCGACTGGTCAGCCTGCTCCTATTACCCAAGCCCCCCACCCCATCTCACAGCCCTTCATTTTCCTTCCCTGAACATATGCCAATCTTGCTCCAGTCCAGCCCAAGCCCAGAAAAGGCAGGATGCAACTGTGACACCAATGGAATTTATTGAACAGGTACATTTACTGAAGCCATTGAAGGCAAGGAGATGACAGCACAGACATTCCCAGAAGCTGCTAGAGATCACAGGTACTATCTCTTCCCATTCTGCAATTCGTGGGTAAGGACCTCATCTGCTTGCCTCAGTGAGGTCTACATGACTCAGCTTCCTTTCCAGGGATCCCTGATAAGTATGTCTCATTCCAGATGGCATCTGTCAGTGTTCTCTCCTTTAGGGGGACTCTAGAACCATCACCCTCTGCAGGGTGATCCTGAATTATTCTGGCATAAGACAGTCACAGGACACCAGAAAGCACAGAAAGGAACATTTCACCAGAGGAACTAGAGTCACAAGTAACAACAAGAATGGGCCATTAAATCTTGGTTCTCAGATCCTACCCTTTCTTAGTCCAGGTATTCATGCCCACCCCAGGTTGACATCAGTCACAAGATGAGCCAGTCCCTGATTGTTATCATCCATCCTTTTTGCTGGTTCCTTCAAGGGCTTGGCTTGGGATCTCTGTGGAGAACCTTTTCAGGTAAGAACACACGCATCTGCAGGGAACAAGCAGCAAATGGATGACCTGCAATTATATCAAGAGAGCTGACCAGGAATACTTAACAGGAGCCAGGAGCAGAACAAACGGGACCTTGGCTGGAATGGAAATTCACAGCACAAGCTGGGCTATAGTGGTGGCTAGCTGGGTGGATTAGGGCTTCCACCCATCTGGGATTGATACGCTTTGCCTAGGGTGTAATGGATGGGAGAGCTAGTATGAAAGTGCATACTCATTGAATAGCTAGGTAACTGTGAATACAACAGGTAAGGGTGAGATTCCCAAGGCAGTGACATAAGCCTGCCTGGGCATGCTGACTGGTAGAAGAGTCAGGCAATCAGGATCCTTGTAATACAGACTCTTTCTCTCTAATATCTTCTAAGCCAGGGGTTATAGCAGACATCTGCAGACCCTCTCCTCCACTCTGGGGTTGACCCTTCATCAATACTTCTAGGCTGATACAGGATGGGATCCTCTGCCTTATGTTCCCCCGCCTAGACAAGGCTGCCCGGCACCCATCCAGGCCCTCCTGGGCACTCTCTGGGAGTACTGCCCATCTGAGCTGGGGTGGGAGCCCCAGGGGTCTCATCAAGTCCTGCCTGTCTTAGGTCTACAGGGCCATGGTGTGAGTTTTGGTCGTCTATCTCTTCCTCAACCTCGTCTTCTGCCTGTTCCTCCACCTCATTTTCCTCCTTCTCCACATTTTCATCTTCTGCCTTAGCAATGGCTCTGCCATCAGTCTGGGCAGGAGCCAGATCAGCAACTTGATCCAACACCTGGGCTCCCATGTTGCCGGCTATTCTTGCCTCCCATGCCTCAGACTCCTGTATGAGCCCCAACAACTCCAGGAAAGTTGGAGGCCTCCCAATCATTCTCAGCATCCTCAGAACTTCATACAGAGTCTCAGTCAAGTTAGCCCTGGTGAGCACCTGTCTCAGGCAGACATCATCAGTGGAGGTTTTCTCTAGAGCCCCCTTCTGGAAGGCTTTCTGCAGCAGGACTTGTAGCCTCATCACAAAGGCAGAGAGCTGCTCATCTGACTGCTGTTGAGCAGTCAAATACTTCATTTGGATAGTGATCTCAGACTCATTGTCTCAAAATACCCGGGTGAGGGCCTCTAGGCAGTCGTCTGCAGTCTTTCCTGGATTCTCTGCTAGCAGCCCAAATACAAGGTACAGGGCAGTCCCCCTCAAGGCCCGCAGCAATCATCTCCTCTTTTCCCTTTTTTGGACCCTTTGCCACACCTGAAACATGTCAGTGGTGTGGTCTAGCCAGGCCTCAAAGTATTGCTCCCCAGGAGCTGGCTGGTACCACAAGGTCTCTACCCAGGGCTGGATTGTCTGCCTGCCTGACTGGAGCCTGCATACTCTGTTCAGCTCCAGACCCAGGGCTCCAAGTACATTGTCCACTGTCTGCCCGTATTGCTGCAAGAAGTGGAAAACATGACCAAGAAGTTCTTTGCTGGAACAACAGGGCACAAAGACAATGCTCCAGGGACCCCCAGTGCCTAGAATTTCCCTTGGGACCAAAGCATAGTTAACTTCCTGGTCAAGCTCAACCAGAGCTGCAGTGGCATTATCCTCCTCACAAAATACTTTGACCAGCACAGTAAAGTGGCCCATGGGCCACATGGCAGCCTTCAGGGAGTCTTGGAATTCAACTTCACTGCAGTCCTCTGGGATGCCGATAATCAGGCCCCTATGAGGGCTGACACCCATCCACCTGCACCAGTCCTGTAGCATCTCCACCGCCATAACCTGAAATTTTGCCAAGGCTTACACTAGGGGTAGGAAACAGTTTCCCTAGAAGCAGGTCAGGCTGGGCAACAGGAGCCTAGGCTAGGACTCACTTAGGGAGACCAGCCTAGGTCTCCATAGCCTGCAAACAAAAACAGGGAGAGAGGAGGTTAGTGTCCACACGCCCCCACCTCTACCCCTTCTCATCCACTATGCCTACAGCAAAGGTTCTCAATCTGTGGGTGTCAACCCATTGGGGTCAAAAGACTTTTTCACGGGGGTCTCCTAAAACCACTGAAAAACACAGATATTTACATTATGATTCCTAACAGCAGCAAAATTACAGTTATGAAGTAGCAATGAAAACAATTTTATGGTTGGGGGTCAACTCAACATGAAGAACTGTATTAAAGCATCATAGCTTTAGGCATGTGGAGAATCTTAGACAATGCTTGTGCATCCCACCCCATGCCTCAGGCACAGGCCTTCCCTTCACCAGCTTAGTACCTTCCTGCAGACCAACACAGGCAGGCCTGCCGGTTGGGGCAGGGTTTGTCGGGGCTAGTAGTATCCTCCCTGGATTTGGTACATCCTAGAGCAGGATCCTTCCTCCTTCAGTCCCACAGCAAGGATTCCCCGGGCTGTTTCCCAGGTTTTCTCGCCAGGCAGCTCCCTTGCTTTCTCTAGCCATATAATCGCTCTCTCTCTCGTAGAACAGTGTGCAGGCACAGACTTAATACTGGTCTCTGAGGTGCGGACTCCGGGCGTGGGTGTGGTGGCCAGGGAGCACAGACCCACTACATCCTCTGCGAGCGGGCACTGGTGCAGAAGGGTCACGAGACAAGGCTGTCGCCTAGCCCTTAGCAACCTGGAGCCTCTGGTAAAGTCACTGGGCCAGCTACTGGTGACATCACTTGCTGCTGATCCCTCCCCCACCATACATCTATGCCCCTGGCACATGGGCCCCAGAGTGCTCAGGGTTCTCCACAGAAGGGCCCCAGAAAGCTGTGGTGCCCCCTCCAGCTCTGACTCCTGACCAAGGCCAGGGAGCAGATGCTCTGAGGCTTTTGCCCCTGGTGAGTCCCCATCTGGACCTGGTCCAGTGACAGAGCTGGGAAAGCAACACCTGGTCTAGGTAGAGGCTCTGAAATAGATGGATACCACATGAACTCTCGTGAGCTCACACACCCCATACCACCGCTCCCCATGGAGCACACAGCGTCTGGATAATGCCCACCCCAGTGGAAGGGGCTGCAGGTATGTTCAATACTTGCATGCTTTGTTGCCCTTGGTGCCAGTGTCTAGCTAACTGGAGGGTGGTCCAGCATCAGGTACGCCTTTCCTGCACTGCCTGCTGTAGATCCGGGTTATTGAAAAGCTGCTTTTGAGATGTGAAGCCCAAACCCTTGGACTTGTATCTTACTGGCTGTCTTTGGGCCAGTTCCTAACCCTTCTAGTCACAGAAAACTTCAGAGTTTCTGGGAAATGTGCCTAAATTCATGTAGAAAGCACTGTGATGACAGTGAGATGCTCAGCTTTTCCCTGTGTTTTGTGTCTATAGCCTTCCAGGCTCTGGGACATGACTTTCTTGGAGCTGAGGGTGGCATGGGTAGCCTACACCTCAGAAGCATCCCTATGTGTTTTACCATCAGTTGTCTTCCATCAGTCAGCTCCCCCCACACCATATCTTCTCCTGCCTGGGCTAGACATCCCCTTAGAGCTGTGCTTCCCTTTCTCAAAACAGAGTTTCAGGCCCTGCCAGTCTTATAGATTTCTCTCCAATAACCAGTTGTCCAGGGCCACATGCATAACATCTCTCTGACAGTGAGAGGGCAAGCAGGTTCACAGAAGGTCATACATATACAGATCTTTTCTTGGTCCCCCTTTCTTTCTTTCTTTCTTTCTTTCTTTCTTTCTTTCTTTCTTTCTTTCTTTCTTTCTTTCTGGTGTTTTTGAGACAGGGTTTCTCTGTGGCTTTGGAGGCTGTCCTGGAACTCACTTTGTAGACCAGGCTGGTCTCGAACTCACAGAGATCCACCTGCCTCTGCCTCCCGAGTGCTGGGATTAAAGGTGTGCGCCACCAATGCCCAGGCCCCTTTTCTTTCTTTGGGCACCATACTCTGGCCACTTGACTTTCAGTACTGGTAAAGTTTTCCCTGATGGTGTTCATCTCACTGATACTGCCTTGGCTTATTGTTGGAGACTAATTAGGATATTGTCATGTTGCATTGTCCTAGACAGTACTGCCACCTCCAACCTACCTGCCTTCCTGAACCTCTGGCAGTGAGGAAGGCTCTGGAGTGTACACCAGAAAGTGACTTCACTGAAACTTGGCCTGAGTCCAAGTAGGCATTCATTAATTCATTGTGTGCTGTTACTGGGGCAACCCATGTTATCTGCCATTAGCAGTGTGGGAGTGCTCATTTGTGTCCTACAACCCAAGCAGCCTTTCAGCCTTGACCACTGAACACCCTAAGGGGAAAATTAACCCCTCATGCATCAATACGTGCTTGGCATTTCCTTAATAGGTTGTGATATCTTACATTATCTCACAACTTCATCTTCCACTCCTGGTCCATCTTCTGTGAATCTCTTTTGTCCCTTCCCCATGCCTAGCCCCATCCTACACACTTTAAGGACAAAGTTTCTAGTATCAAAGCTGAAAGAACCCCCATTGTGTACATGCAACCATTACCCAAAATAGGTTACATTCAACTTGACCTCACACTTGGTCTTCAGTTTGTCATGTGTGGTTCTCTTTCTTGCCCCTGTGATTCCTACTATGATTATCCACAGTCTGTAGATAAGTGCTTTGGGAGAAAAGGGAATTGTAAGGCTTCTCTTACAACCCAACTTTCTCAATTGGCCTAAAGTACCTAATCCCTCCCTTATTCAGCCTCCGGGGCCCAAACTGCCTTTTTTCCTGCTGGCCAGTTACTGCTGTTAATGTCTAATGTAAGAATTTCTGTCTCCTGAAACTCGCTGTTTGACCTGTCATGTCTCATATAATAAATACCTTGTCTTCTTTTTTGGTTTGGGTGTAATTTTCCTGGGGTCTTTCCTCACAGAAGGCACTCCCTTGGGAACATATATATACAGGATAGTCTAGTACTACCAGCTGTCCCAGTGGGCTTGCAAAGTGATTATCAACACATTTCCTATTTTTAGGTTTGTGTCTTCTTTCCTTCTTTCCCTCCCTTCCTTCTCTCCAAGTGAGGACTTTGCTTCTTTTTTTAAAGATTTTTTTATTATTTTAATTTTAAATAGCTCGTTTTACATGTCAATCCCAGTTCCCTCTCCCTCCCCTCCTCCGGCACCCCCCACCATCCCCCCAGCCTCCCACCCTATCCCCACTTCCTTCCACATAGGGGATATCTAGAGTCTTGTCATTTCACTCAGGGCAGGGTCCAGGCACTCCCCTAAGAGACCAGGCTGAGAGAGCATCCCTCTTTGTGTTATGGACACACGATGTCCGTTTGTATGCCAGGGATAGACACTGATCCACTGCTCAGGGACCCATAGGTTGCCCAGGCCTCCTCACCGACTCTCACACTCAGGGTGTCTGGATCAGTCCCATGCTTCATCCAGTGACTGATGGAAGCAGAGGCAAACACCCACAGTTAAATACTGAACTGAACCCAAGGAACCCAGTGACAGAGAGAGAGGAGCGATGAGCAAACAGGCAAAGAATGGGCTGGCAAAACCATCAGAGACAGCTGATCTGAACAAGGGGACAGACTTTGCTTCTTTATAGGTTCAGTTTCTTCCCTCTACACTAGGGCATGGGTTGTCATACCTCAGCTGTTTTTCCTTTGTCCATTCTCTGTACCCAGTGTCTCTATCTCTCAGCAGTTAGTAGCTTTTTCTCTGTAATCTTTCCTTTCTTGACTTCTGGGACACCCCTTCCTGTATTCAAAATGACCTTGTGCCTTTTATCCTGCCTTTCAGTTGAAGTTATTCTCCTACCTCTCCCACCTCCTTCTCCTCCTCCTATTCCTTTCTTGGAGCTCAGTATAGTATGGGTGGTTTCCTAGATGCAGGTCTTGGAATGCTTTCCAGAGATGTTCTCTGCTAGTAATGATACCTTCTCCAGTTCTGCCCATTTGCATCAGACTGCCTATTTGGATGCCCCTCAGGCATTTAGCATTAAGATGTTTCACCTAGGGTGCTTCAAGCACTATTGCATACCTGCTATTTCCTTGGACTTCCCCCATCTATACAAAAGTCTCTGCCTTCTATTAGGTTACTTAAGCACAGGTGCAAGAAATCTTCCCCCCTTTCCTTTGCTTCTTACCTCTAAATTCAGCTGTGTCCTGGCGCTGCCATTCATTTTCATAGTTCCTAGCCTTATGTCCTCCCCTTCAGACCTATATTCTGACCCCCCATACATTCCGTCATACTCACTAGTAGAATTATGCACATGTCATCACAAGACAAAGCATAGGTTCGTACTTTTGAGCACTAAAGACTCCCTCCTGGAAAGCAAGCATGTGACCTTACAAAGGGAGTCTTGCAGGATCACACTATCTAGGATGTTGACTGAATCTGTCTTCTGGGTTGTAAGAACCAATAGCACACACACACAGAGAGGAGGGGGGGAGACGGAAAGAGAGAAAAGAAAGTGTGAAAGAGACAGAAAGAAAGAGGGAAGAGAGAAAGAGACAGTGATGCTCTGTGAGGGGTGAAGACATAAAAAGATAAGATGTTGATACAATTTAGCTAGTTTCAAACTCACTGAGAATCAGTAGTAGACTGAGCATGCCTTGAACCATCTGGATAGATACTCAAGCTAAACAGGGATGAAATACCCAAAACCTAGAATTGTGACAAGTAAATTTATGCTTTTCATGAAAGCTAATCTGCCTCAGGTAGTTTGTTACAGCAGCACAAATGGACATGACAGACTGATTACCCAGCCTGGAATCATGGACACAAAACCCAAGGGACCTTGTTCCTTCTGGATCAGCTCGCCAGCCTACATGGTCCGCTTGTCTTGCTCTTTTGGCTTGTGGAGTTGG